ATTAACAATGTTAATAATATATATCTGTAAGAAAAAGAACAAAGTTTATATTTTTACCAACGCAAAGACTCTCAATACCACATAAGGTAGTAGATGTTCTCATTATATTTTATCAGGAATCGTTGCATGTAATCTTTTCCTCTAATCTGTATCATGATTTCTTGTATCAGAAAGAACAGGAAACACGGGTTTGCCTCAGTGTAATAATATCAAGATAAAGACTTGTGGGAAATTTTATTTTATCTGATCAGCTAAGGGGAAAAACAAGAGTATCAGGTTTTTTAAATATAACTGGCGGGGGGTGGGGGGTGTATGTTTCATTTATAAAAATGGAATGGGCATTCCCCAAGCAAGAATATTAAAAATCTTGTTATTTAAAGGGCCATGACTGTTATTACCATGAACGCAGCAAACGTGTATCAAACCCCAGATGACGAATCGAATACTGAATATCCTATCAGTAGGATATCATGCATTATGGCCAGGATATAGGAAATAACATGCGAATTATAAGGGTTTGTTTATATTTTACCGCGGAACCACCAAGTTTCTTGGGGTTAGTTTCATGTATTGTTTAAATTTCACAAGTTCGTAGGGAAGTAATCTCGTTATTTCGTGCAATTTCACAGGTCTACAAAATGAATGTGAAACCCTTGTTTATGATTTTTTTTAAGACTGAAAATGTTAATTAGTGGATGATGGGTAATTTCAAGAACATTAAGCCATCACGTAATCAAATGATTCCGTAGTATTATGATAAGAATTATGTTAGAAATCCTACATGTTTGTTGATAAATAAATCAAGAAATATTACCTGTGAAAGTAAGCGATATCTTATTGCATTATCTTTCAACCAACTCATTCGACAGTTTTTTTTTCAACAGTTTTGATTTTTTGTACATTTCTGTACAGGAAGCACAAAGATATGGAAAAACCCTCTCATTGCATATTAAGGCAATCCATTTTCAACGTATTTCCAGGCAATATGTTTATTCTTTGCAGGTGCATTCCAGATTTTAATTGAGATTTGATAGTATATCTTCGTTTATTTATAAATGATACAAGATTAGACACTCTTGTATAATTTTCTGTAATAAAGATTATTCCCATTCAAACCATGAACCCTTTGTACTTTCATAGGGTAGATGGAATATGCCAAAGTCAATTTTTTCATTTTTAAAATGGTACATCAATTAAAATAAAATATGTTTTTAAAAAGTATACTCAAGTATGTTATTATCAAGGTCTTTATTATGACCATATTTTTATGAAATTAAACTTTGAAAAACTAGAAGTTATCTATAAAATGTTTTTGATTGTTAAGCCGTCATAGTTTCTAAGTCAGTACAACATATAGAAATACATGTATATAACACGTGGCAGACATAGTTGCAAGTTCACTTGGATACATGTACTAATCATCGACTGTAATATTACTTTTGTTTAGTGAAAAATAATCGTCGATAAATCCAAATGTCCAGTTTCAAATCATGTTAAAGTTTTGAAATAAATACTGCTTCATAACATACTCATATGTCAACTTCGAGTAAGAAAGCAGCACGAATTCAGTTTGACGGAATAAAAAGGTTGTCAGTGATTTAATTGACATCCTTTTAATATCATCTTTATTTTGTTTTTAGTATATCGGAGTTTTTTAACGGAGGAATTATAATGTTGGCCTAACGCATTTTCAACTTTTTGTTGCAGAAGCAGTTGTCTCGGATATCAAAACGCCTAGATTTCAATTTACCTTTAGGAATGGTTCATATGATTTTACAAGATATATTGCTGTCATTACTGAAAATTTACGATTTATTTCTATATATATATATATATATATATATATATATATATATAGAAAGCACAAAGAAATTCACTTTTACATGGATACCCACTTCCGCCCCAGCCCGGGGTTGAACTCTCGACCTTCGGAATCTGTCTCCTAGCAGTGCAGGAACAACGCGCTAGACCGCTCGGCTATCTAGGCAAGTTAAAAAACTTGCTTTCGATGCCGATGGAATTCTCGCGGCGCTGCCCTACACTACACGGTCATTCAGAATAGAAGTGAGATACAGTTATTTGGACATTAGTTTTTAACAGAGGATTGTTACCAATACATGTTGTAATGAAATTAATTATTATTTATAAATCACATTCTACAACAACTCTTAAACTAACATAACTGCCCTAAGTGAAGAAATATTCATATAGAAAGCACAAAGAAATTCACTTTTACATGGATACCCACTTCCGCCCCAGCCCGGGGTTGAACTAGCAGTGCAGGAACAACGCGCTATATATATATATATATATATATATATATATATATATATATATATATATATATATATATATATATATATATATATATATATATATATATATATATATATATATATATATATATATATATATCGGAAATAATAACTTAGTATTATTTTTGGTAAATTTCAAAATTTATTTCGGATATCATAAAGGAAAGTAATATTTATAAATTGACATAAAGGGTATTATGCACTATAACACGTACTTGATAGGTAAAAGGACATTTGCATTGTAACCAAGTGCTAGAGAAGAAGTAAGATATTACCTGATCGTGTCTCAGTTCGGAAATAGTTATCGCAACTCTATCTGTAACCCACCATATAATCAATGCTGTCTAGCATGCAATCAAAACAAAAGTAAACATATAGTGCTTAAAAGTACGAACATTAACTCATGTTTAAACAAAAAAAATTAAAAATGGACAAATCATCATAAATTCAGTGTCCAGTGATGTTAAACTGATATCGAAGAGCAATAACGCAAAAAATCCAATGATAACAAAAACAGACTCAGAAAATATATACGAAGAATACATCGAATCCTAACATCGTGAGGATACAATAGGTGTTAAAAATGTTTATTAACAAAACTAAAAATTATCAACTGGTTATATTCTTGAAATATTGAAATATGTATTTAATATACAAGTCTATTTTTGTTTATATAAAGAGCATTAGGCATTCCTTAAACCTACTAAACGTCATATTATTTAAAGGGGATTAATTGTTATCAATTATTTTCAGGTAGGAAACACGAAGGGAAAACCCAAGGGATTTTAACAAATGGAAACAGCACATTCAGATAACTCGCAAATAAATAATGTGAGAAATTAAATTTGTGTGATCAATATACACCTATATTTGGAATTTTAAATACTATGCAGTAAGTGGGTTATATGATCATACATTACTCTTCAATTATTCTTTAAATCATTAAGTATATTTAATATATGTTATGTTCTTTTCACAAACCCTCTCTACTTCTACTGCATGGTACAAAATACCGGAATATAGTTCTAAATGTGAGATAAAATAATTTCATCGCTTAGGAAAAATGAATTTAAAGTATTTGTTAACTATTCCGGTGAAATATTTTGCTTCAAACAATTGCATGAAATTAATTTGCCAAAGCGTGCAACTACTACTGATGAATAGATATTTTTTATAGTACAAAGCATTAGTTATTAAAGCTTATATCTGCGAGTTCTCGTCTGTCATGGCAAAAACAGAATATCCCTCTTTGAGAAAAAAAAATGTATGGAGAAAATTAAAAAACAAATAATTGAAAAATGATTGTTTGTAGTTGCTACCCCATCTAAATATAGCTTTGTGGTTATTTTATATAGTTAGAATCCGATCGGATCGGTATCGTTGAAATTTTCGTTTACAAAATGTAAAATATTAAAATTTTGTCTATTCATGTATCATAAGAGCGAAAGGATTATAAACTTATTTACTTGTCTATACTAAATTGCTGCCATTCTTCGATAAATGGACCAATGCAGAGTATCAACTGTAAGAAAAGTAATTGTTTCAAATAACAAAATGAACATTGTAAATCTCTAAAGGACATACCAATGAACTTAAAAATAAAGAATTGTTCGTAAATCTGGTATTGCTAACTTATTACAATAGTAAAAGATACCATTGATTTTAAGGTAATGTTACGGAAGTAAATGCTTGATCGAGCTTTTCAATTTTTTAAAAATAAAGCTGAATTTGACCTATTTTTCGTTTCAGATATTTAGTTCATAAAGTCTCACATGAATCCAAATTAAATTAAATTTTCGGGAAATATACCACTACGGAAGTTAATCCTTACGGTAATTAATTCCCAACGATAAAAGTTTAAATTCTCTTCAATGGTGGAGAACAAAGATTGTGTAAGGATATTAAACAAAAGTATGAAGCATTTCGCTCCCGAACTAATAAAAAAATTATACCCTATATGCAAAAACTATCCCGATTTACCATTTATACGGAAGTTAGATTTGTAAGAGAGACAACTGTTTTTGTCTGATTCTTTTTGTTATGCCGAAAATATAATCGTCTTAAATAGCTGACTCGTGGCCACTTTAAGATAAGTTTCAGTTCTTTTTTAATCAGCATTATATGCGTGAAATTTAAAACACATACAGTCGTTACGGAAGATTTTACGCGACACGCTATGCTTTTGAATAAAAGGAGATCCATACATTTCCTTGCGAGAAGTGGTTTGATTTCTGTTAATATAGGATAAAATTTTAACATTCATTGCAATCTATATGTATTCGGGACGATTCTAAGTGTGGAGATTATATCTTGAGATGTGTAAATAAATGAAACGACAATAACATTTGAAATGGGATACGTTTCTTAAATTACATTATGTTCATACATGTCCGTGATGACCGAGATAATCAATATTCTCGGGCATTTTGGGTCGGGAGTAATATTCATCACAGTTATCATTTGAAAGAAATGCCAAATGACAGAAAACACTACATGCAAAGATTGAAAAGTCTCTTTTTCTCCCCCTATCTCTCTTCACACCTCTCTTACTCTCTCTTTTTCTCTGCCCCCCCCCCTCTCTCTCTCTCTCTCTCTCTCTCTCTGTATTTCTCTTTTACCATGTATATATCGATAAAGCTACTGCTGAGGTCCACGTCACACTTTCATCTGATATACTTGTAGTGACACGTATTATATGAATCAGCATTAGTGTTCATACCGTAATTTAAGGATAAACAGCAACGCAAGTAAGATTTCTGCATGACTTACCTTACATATTTGAGTTATATTGATACTGAAGCTGGACTCACTAAGCTGTCATATTTGTAACCTTTTGTCACATATGTTTGTAACATTTTAGTTTTCGGTTAATATCTCATATACTAGTATTTTGAGATTTCAGTAATGAAATATGTCCATAATGAAAAGCTCTGTACCAAGTACATTAAGTGTATATTTATAAAGATTTCAAAAGTGAACAATAAAATATGAATTTTCATACAATATATATGAAGTTAAGCATGGAAGTAACCCTTTTTTAGGAAATTCTGTGTCATGTCATATTTTTGATATTCAGTATAGCATTATTACTTTAAATCCTCAGAAGCAAATTATATTGTATAACTGGGGTGCCGTAATGTTTCAAATAAATACAAAATGTTGTAAAGAATAAATGTAAAAAAGACCTAAATAGTTGTATGGAATCATCCCACGTGTCCTTTTCATGAATAACTTGTATTCCGTGTCAAACTATTATTAATACAATGTGCTGTCATAGTCAAAGCAAGAAATGCAGAGTTATCTCCTACTTTTATTTGCAATTGTAGCATACAAGCAAAAAATTATGTTATCAGTTAGTTTAACATGCAAATATTTTAATATGTTATCCAAATTATATAAAAAAAATCTTTAATTCATAATTCTGATAGGGAAAACAGCCAAATTATTCATAAATGCCCTTTTTAAAAAGTCTTGAGACTTGACTTATGTTCTTTCAATACAGGAAATGGAATGTAACCGTATGAAAATTTTATAAATTCACTGACATTGTTTTTTGCAGGCAAAGATGACAGTCTTCTGCAGAGAAAATATGACTACATTTTAAATAGTGAACCATGTCATTCTTTTCTGAACTTTCCAGAAACGATACTAAGGTACTTAAAGCTATGTGTAAAATAAAAACACAAAGCTGTCTATATTTCTTTATATAATTTTTCCTATATATATAATGTTCATGATTATTTTTACTTCAGAAAATTATATACAAAATCAAAGAAAGGCGAAATCACGTAGAAATAGATGAGTTACGAGGAAGAGATAGAGTTAAGGTCAGGAAGAAGGCGTCAGCTGAAGGTCAAACTGGTGTTAGATGAAGACATCAGAAAAAATCACGAATGTCACAGAAACCAAATCCGTGACGACAGATGTCTTAAAGATATCAGGAAAGTTGATGGTTCATCAAAAGTTAATCAAGACGAGAGTAATGAAAAAGATGAAGGAACTAATCTTACTTTAGTGTACGGCAGCACACCGGGAAAGAAACAAAGTAGAGGTGGCAAAGTATCGCATGAATCAAAAAGCGAAATATTCGTCGCTTGCAAGAAAAATATTTTCTCAAACTTTTCAAGAAGAAAAGAGGATAAACCACATCAATCATATTTATACTGCATATCGATGCTTAGCAAATATGTAGAGAGCATAGAAGAAATTGTTAATGAGATTGAAAGTGACTTTCATAGAGTTCCAACAACTGATTTACATGAGAAAAGTAAAAAGGTGTTTCGAAAGGATCGGAAAAAGAAAAACAGAGTATTTTGCTTTGCAAAAGTTGATTCATATTCTAAGAAAAGGAAAAACCAAAAAATCAAAGCAAAACGACCAGAGTCAAATTTGGAGAAATGTCGTATCGAAAGAGATTTTACAGAAAGGCATTTACCTTCATATCATTCTAGACAGAGTAATAAAACCGTCAGTGAGATTTATAGAAATTATCTTAGGACTAATCCATTAACAATAAAATATTCTAACATTATAGATAAAATCAAAGAAAACATATGGGCATTTGATCAACAGTATTGTTCAAAGCATTATCAGAATACAATACATTTAGGTTTTGACAAAAAGTGGAGATATTCGGATTTTAAGGAAGACCTAATGTCTATTTTGTTTGGTTTATCTCAAATAAAGACTGACTTTATTCAGCTTTTCCCAGTATATGGGACTTCTAGAAATCTCGACGAATTTGTAGAAAGAGAAATAAATCAAAATCAGGGAAGCAATGACCAAGAAACCTACTGTCATTCATTGAATTTAGAACTTGTAAGACTGGGTTCATTTCACAATTTCCCATCCTCCAGCTCAGTATCAACGTTGAAACTTGCTCGTCAAGGGTTTTATTATTCGAGAGAAGAGAACACTGTTATATGTTTCGCTTGTGGATTTAGGAAACATGATTGGAAAAAAGGAGATGTTGTTGACACTATTCATAGAGAGGGTTCGCCAAACTGTCCGATTTTTAATTCAAATAGTACAAGTAATATTAAAATTGGAGGAAATGGTATTGACGAGAATTATGTGTCCAAAAACGTAGATCAGCAAGGAATAACTGAAGCGCTTCCTGATGGTCCAAATAATGGATCCCAAGATTTAGTCAATAATGAAGGTATATCCAGAAACGTAAGAGATTGTCAACAAAATCATTCTTCTAATAGACCACCAAGTGATCATCTTACAAAAGCTAGAGCTCAACAAGAAAAGATTAATGCATTCATCCGAGACCTAGATCCGCTAGGTATTCACTTCGACCGTCCAAAGTATCCTTCTTACGCAGTGTTAGCGGTTAGAATTAGTTCCTACGCAGACTGGCCTTCAAGCATCACTCAGACTCCGCGAAACTTAGCCATTGCAGGATTTCTATATTCAGGATATGGGGATTATACACGATGCTTCTTCTGTGGAGGAGGATTAAGGAATTGGGAACCAGGGGATGATCCCTGGATAGAACATGCTAGATGGTTTCCGAAGTGTGCATTCTTGAGACAGAATAAAGGGGACGAGTTTGTTGCCTTGGTGCAAATAGAACACCAAGAAGAAGTGAGTCTCTATATATTTTTTAATCATGTGGATTGTCTATTGATGTGAATTTAATGTTGCATTTTCGGTTAAAACTTATTATTTATTATTTCTAGGAGGCATTAGGAGGAATGAATGGTCATCAGGACGACCAACAGAATGCTATGGTAAACACATCCAGACAAACCCAGAATTCTGTAAAAACTCTCACGATACATCCAGGTTTTCAAAGTTTGCTAGAAATGGGCTACTCATCTGAAGCAATTCAAAAGGCGTTTGTTCTCTTGAAAGAAACGAAAGGTACAAGGTGACTGATACTATTACAAAGAACATGTGTGACCCCTTTCATTTTTTAAAAACTCTTTTGCATGCAAGCGAAATGAAAAAAAAAAAAAAAAACAAAATTAATGTCGATAACAAAATGTGGTATGGGAAAACTCATTTGAAAGTTAAATAATGCAATTTATCACGGAACGAAAATAAAATATCATACCAGTTAATTAGAACACCAAAATATATAGACTGTTCAATGCGATAAAAAAGTGTGAGATTCTACTTTATTCACAATCCTTATTATAGAGATAATTACCGTGTGTATTTGAATTCCAGAACCTATCAATATTAAGGCTGAAGAATTACTAGAAATAGTTTTATCTCAAGAAGAGACAGCTGGAGAAAACGCAAGCCCACCATCAGCATCAGGAGGACTGGAAAACAAAATAAACAAGACAGGGAAGTCAGAACAATCTAAACCAGACACTCACAAGGTTCCAAACTCTAAAGAAATGGATGGAGGGGACGGTAAGTGGATAATAAAGTAATGGTTCAAATCTACACAAGGTTTAACTTACGAAGAATCTTGGATTTTTTTTTAGAAAATATAAATATATTATGATACGCTTTGTAGATTTTCAAATGCATAACCAAAGAGATCTGAACAGAGTTAACCAGTCTCTGGCGTCCATGTCAGTTGAAGGTACAAAACACGGATTGAAATCATGTAATGGTAGCAAAATGCGAAAGATGTGCTTCTTTTAATTTTTTTGGAACGGTAATTTAATTTACCCAAAATTTATTGATCTCCTCTTGTTTAACTCAGAGACAAGGTCACTCATTGAAGAAAACAGAAAATTAAAGGATCTCCGGCTGTGTAAAATTTGTCTTGAGAACGAGGCTTCTATCGCCATGTTACCTTGTGGTCATCTCTGTTGTTGTCCAGACTGTGCTCCGGCCATGAGGAAATGTCCGATCTGTCGGCAGTTTGTCAAAGGGACGGTTAAAACATGGATGGTTTAATCATTTTCAGCACATGATCAACACTAATCTTTTGGACAGTTCGATTTTAATTTGTGCTTTATTATTTAGTGATTTTTGAGATTTAATTTTTAACGAACAGGATTCGGCTTGTTTCTAATATTCTTGAAAATGTTTATAACAAGAAAAAAAACTCGGATCACAGGATGAAAAGCCAGGTTTCCCAAATTTGGAAACCTGATGGAAACATATGGGAATCGTGACATCAGTAGTTTCCATATAGTTTCCATTTTATGGAAACCACATAGTGGTTTCCACATAGATTCCCGACATGGAAACAATCAACCTGTGGTTTCCCGTAAGTTTCCCAAGATAGGAAACCATGGAAACATACCCCGGTGGTTTCCACATAGATTCCCGACATGGAAACAATCAACCTGTGGTTTCCCGTAAGTTTCCCAAGATAGGAAACCATGGAAACATACCCCGGTGGTTTCCACATAGATTCCCGACATGGAAACAATCAACCTGTGGTTTCCCGTAAGTTTCCCAAGATAGGAAACCATGGAAACATGCCTCAGTGGTTTCCATACAGATTCCCGACATGGAAGCCACCAATGTGTAGTTTTCCCCATGTTTCCCAGGCAGGGAAACTTTGAAAGTATATCTCAATACTAACCAACCTACCTTTTATTTTACAAAAAGTTAAATATTTAATTATGTTACCATATTTTTACCAATTATAGAAATATTTCAAAAGTGTTTACATGCTGTATCAAAATAATTAACTTCAAACAGTTAAAATAACTAGATGTGTATTTCTGTGTGATTAATTTAATATTTCAGCACCATGAACGCAATTCAATTTTAATGTAATTTTATTTAACTGAATTTTATTTAATTTAATTTAATTTTGAATTTGATTTATCACATAAGTTTTGGTAAACTCGTATAGAATGCGTGAAGTGGAATAGGAAAAAGTAAGTGCATGCAGCTATGTAGAAATCAATCATTTCCGATCCCACTTTCTTGAAGCTGTCTATGATGAATGTTCATTTGAAAAAAATGGAAGTCAGAGCTAAGGAAGGGTACATTTAATGAAATTATTTACAGAAAAGGTTTACTAAAAAGATCGATTAAAAAGTAAATAAAGAAATAAGTCAAGTTACGATTACTGATTAAGGACAGGTGAGAAGTTCCTCAAAAAATAATTAATTTTTTTTCCAATATTTTGCAATTGACATTGAAGAATTATTTTTACGTAATTACATGTATTCACAAGACATCAAGGTACCTTACCAGACATTTGTGTTAGATATCAGAGGTTGGCATTTCTTATATACCGGGGTAATTGGTCAGGAAAAAAAATACTTCAATTGGTTTGTCAAAATTACATTTTTAGTGTTTCAAGTTTTTTAATACGAGTTTAGAAATTGATAAAGATTTTGTTTTAATATGAATTAATATATTAATATAAACTGGTCAGATAAGAATCATTCATCGAATTAGCTTGGGGCTGAGTACTGTCATACTAGTATTTTACTATTAATAGTGAATATTGTCTTTTTTAATTTATTAAATCATTGTTTTTATTATTGGGGTGGGTGGGTTGCTTTTTATTTTTTTTTCTTGAGAAGCCCCCCCCCCCCAAAAAAAAAACGCTTTTGAAAAAGTCACTATGATCGGCCTGTGTAATTAGGGACACCTGTCCTCACGTGCCATATCAGGTGGAGACACGTGCCGCGAAGACACCTGTCACTGTGTATTTTTTGTATATTCTATGTGAATTGAGACGGTTTTGTACCTAAAGGGAACAATGGGCTGTTGTCGAGCATGTACACACACAGTCTCCGACCGAAAATTCTTTTAAATTAAGATGATGATTCGTGTTTCTTTTATCATTTAAAAAATTGTATATTCCATAAATAAAGTTATACAAGAGAACATATTTATAAAATAACCTACATTTAAGAAGTTCAATGAAAGAACAAACTATTTAGAATTTTTATTTCAATTTTCATTACTGATTTAAAATAAAACTCTCCTCTTTAGAAATTAAATAATTTTCTATAGGTATTGAATAGATCTTAATTCTCGTCGTGTATAATTATATTAAATCAGAATGACGTTAATAGATCAATGTGAAATCAAAACTGTATTTAATATTGTTGATGGGTTTTTGTGTGAAATTTGTAATCTAACGTACTACAAAGACATTTATTAGATAAATGTTTATAATATAATTCATCACATAAAACGTTTTTCCCCCTTTTTTGTTTAAATATGTACGCAGATCCCCGTGTAGTAAACGCCTGCACTTTTCGCATGGAATTACAATGTATAGGGTCCTAAATGCACATACATTATATTTAACAAACTAAAAAATTTTCAGCCATTTTTTTTTCTCCAAAGGCCATTGCTCTAGATAAAGAAAAGTCTATAATATTTTGCATGATTTTGTTTTCCTTAAGAACAATGGCTTTTAAAGTAGTGCATGCTAAGGCAATCTATTAAAAGAATTAATTGTATAATATATTCATTGTATAATTGTCACGATTGTATTTTTGTGCAGTTCTTGTTGATTTCATTCTATAAAGGTATGAAGTTTGTCAATACTTCAACAAACATTTCTTTATCTATGGTGTACACTACAGTAACTTTATTTTTATTCGCCGACATGCTACATTTTTATATAAAAAAAAAAACTTGCGTGACTAATAGACTCGATCTTCAGGCCTGTAGGAAAGTAATTTCCGAAAGAGTAATAAACTAACAGGGATTTTATTTTTACTAGCATACCTTACCAGATTTCTTAACGAAAAAAAAAACATTAAAAGAAATACAGGGCGGGACCAGCTAAAGCTGTATGCATAAGTACAGCCCTGCAATCAACGAGTATAGATGAATTTCGACATCTTTCCAATGACTTCACTTATACCAATCACGACTAAAATATTGAATTAAAATACTGTTATATTTCCTACCTTTGATGAGATGTTAGTTTTGTTCCACCTAGAGATAAAAATGTTTTCAACATTCTGATTCATTTATCAATTTTACGTGTTAAAATGATGTGGGAATTTTTTTTAGCTAAAGGCCAAGGAGTTTAAACATGTTAAAGTACAATGTATATGTAGCAATTAGAGAAAAGTCTAGTAGGTCCACCAGTAATATTGATAGCAGGCTCAAAATCTAATTAAACCCCGAAAAGGAGGGAGTTCGATTAGTAATTTAATCCCCCCCCCCCCGAAAAAAAACACAACAATTTATTAGCAATGAATTAAACACCGAACTTTTCAATCATCACTATTGAAATAAAAAAAACTGTTCTTGATAATCATATTATAATTGTAGCTTATTTTCATGCCTTTTAGGATACCTGTGGAAAGTTCACAATAAAAAAAATGTGCTTTTAAAAATTTAACATCTTTTGGTGTGACATTATAAATTCATAATCATACATGTAACAGTTAAAAGAAGCTGGGAGAGGTGTGTGTGTGTGGGGGGGGGGGGGGGGTTACTTTCAGCAAGGACGGCCACTACCAACAACCAAGCCCCGAAACCCATAACCCGAAGGCAAATAAGTTGAGGTGTCAAGCAAGAAACAATTTTTTTTTCTGCTCTTGCCTCATGTATTTAACCGCTTTTTTTCTAAAATTTTTATTCCATGAAAAGGGGAAAACTTAATTAAATTCTAATATAAGATCTCATAATCACACTTAATCATAGTGAATGTAAACAGATTATATTTCCCATCCTGCATCGCTCTGTAGGCGCTTTATTTCATTGGTCAATTTACCGAGGCGCCATTTTTGGAGGATCGAGAAGGACGAAGAAGAAGGTGTAAGCAGCTGGTAAATGTGAAAAGTTAAGATGGTTTCACCACCCAGTGTCTTTAAGACTGTGATAAATGCAATGGCCAACGATGAAGGAGTAGTGTACGTATATTTTTGTTAACTTTTTACGGTAAATAGTTGTAATATTTGGCAACAACAAATCTTCACTATCGGAGGCAACTTTTGTTTTGACGCCATTTTGAAAAGTTGGATACCTAAGTTTTAAATTGTTAAGTGTATATATTGCAGAAAGAAAGAGAGAGAGAGAGAGAAAGAGAGAGAGAGAGAGAGAAATTTGAGACGTTGATATAGCATAACTTATATTATGAAGGCACCGTGCATGTGCATGCTGTATGTTGTAAAATTTCAACGTTTCGCCTTTTATCATGTTTATTAAAATGTATGCTCCACGTGCATGTTCTCTCTCTACATATAAATGAATACTTTTCGGAATTTAAAAAAAAATATTTTAAACCCCGCTCAAATTATCCGGATGATAATAGTTACACCGAACATGGTTTCGTAATTAAATTCAGACTGTATTAGTGTATAACATCCGGTTTGAATACCACATGTGTTTTCTGACTTTTGGGAGCCAACTCTTGTTTTTTTTGGAACTTACGACTTATGGCAAGGTATAAATTAAATATTTTTGGTTCAAAACTTTGATAAAAGCATCGATATTTTTACAAAAAGTGTCTTCAATCTCAGCTTATCCGATTATTCATGAAGGATATCCTCATCAGAACAGATTGTAGCGAATAGCATAACCCTTAATCATATGTATGACGATGATATGGAGGGAAAATATACATAAAAAGTGAATGTAGGTGAAAGTCTGTCCTCTTTTCTGAAGAGATTAGGTTTGTTTTATTGTTTATTGAAATAGTTTACTGCTCAAAAGATTTTTTTTTTGTAATGTTTAACCTGTTGAGATGAAGATGTAAAAAAAGAAAATCCTAATAGTGAATTAATATTGATAGTATGTCATGAAATGCAAATGAATCATCAGCTTGAATTATCAGTTTTTTCACAATTATTGACCTGAGTAGGTCAATGTATAGCGAATAATACATACTCCTTTCCATATCGCATCCTAGCCCGAGACACCAATTTCAGCCAGAGGGACAGAGACCCTAGGGCTGATATTGGTCGAAGGTCTGATACAGGATGTGATGTGGAAAAGGGTATGTTTTATTATGTTTATTACAAATTTGGTAATAAAATACAGAACACTTCAAGTTGAGAAGATCAAGAAAATAAGTAAATAATCATGCACAATAAAACTACTTACATACACAGGGTTCAAAATTAGCGAGAAATA